ACTCTGGGAAGCTGAGGCAGGAGGATCAAAAGTTTGTGCCCAGCCTGGGCAGCTGAGTAACTTAGCAAGACTGTCTCAAAATAAAATGCAAAGAAAGGACTGAGAATATAACTCGGTGCACAGGCCCTGGGTTCAGTTCCCAGTTACACAGAGAAAGACACACAAATATCCAAAAAACAAAACAAAACAAACAAAAAATTACATATCCATAGGATAAAATTTTATGAAAAAATGCTAGAAAAATGTAAGTTCAAAGAGAAAAAGAATACTGTAAAATATCTGACCACTAAAGAGTTATCCCCATGCCGTTTTTTGGCAGCAGTAGGGACTGAACCCAGGGTAAGCTGCATCCCCGGTCACCTTACTCTCCGCCTTTTAATTCTGAGATAGGCTCTTGCTAAGTCACTATGTTGTCTAGGCTAGATGCAAATGTGTGATCTTTCTTCTTCAGCCTTCCAGCATCCTGGGACTACAGTCACATCTGGCTGCTAGGTAACTATTTTGTTTACAAATGTTGACATTTAGCACATACAACATTCTATTTAAACTCTTGTTGAAAAACTTTAGGTGCCAAGTTAAAAATGTGCAAGCAGTAGGTTTCCCTGACACTCTCAGGAGGTACCTGTAGCAAGAACTTGGGACAGTGGCTACCTCAGTGACCAATAGTTGTTCCTCAGATACCCCAAACACCACACATCTGAAATCCAATTCTTTGTCCATCCTCCGCTCCGGGAATATAGTAGTCACCTGGCCCAGAAACTGAGTAAACTTTGACTGGATCCATCTCCCTGGTCTGAATTGCGCCAATCTCATAGATTCTGCTCTGCCCATCTCCTGACCTTTTCTTCCTCAGTTCCTGACACCACCAATGCCACTGCCACCACCTCTCCTAGGGGAGTACAAGGGACTCCGCTCCTCCAACCTCATCCTCCCTACTCCGTCACTCTTTCACAGCCTGAGCTGACCCTTGAGCTCAGATCAAGCCACCTCCCAGCTGAAAGTGCTTGCAAGGAAGAGTCCAGACATCCACAACCATTACACGCAAGGCCCTGCGGTTGCCCTGAGCTGCCCATCTCTTCCGCTTCCACTTACCACTGGATAAGGCCATTCTTTGGTTTGACCTAGATGTTCACGCCTGTAACACCTTCAGTCCTGGATTTTTATTCCTTCCCTACTTACACACTATTCACCTAGCACTTTCACAAGTGCTGAGGATGTGGGGAAACTGCAGCACCTGCACGCTGCTGAAGGGCCTAGAAAATGATGCAGACACTTTGGGGACATTTTGACAGTTTTTCTTTTTCTTTCTCAGTATTGGGAATTGAACTGGGTATACCCTCAGCCTTTTTTTTGAGAAAGGGTATGACACTGTGCTCAACTTAGTTTAGTGGTTTTTCAAAAGGTTAATCACATAAATACTACATCCAGCGGTCCTACCCAAACATATATATGCATATAATGTGTACACAAATATGTAAGCAGTACCATTTGCATTTCCAAAACAAAGGAAATAACTCAAACATTCATCAGTGATGCATGGAAGAACAAAATGTAAACTAATATTCATAAAAATAGAGTATTACTTGGAAATTAAAAACGATTATGTTGAGAAGCTGAGGCAGGAGGATCATAAGTTCAAGGCCAGCCTAGAATATTCTATTGTGAGATTCTGCCTCAAAATAAAAAATAAATACAAAGGGCTACAGGTATAGTTCAGCAGTAGAGCACTTGCATATCATGAGCAAGGCCTGGGTTCACTGCCCACTACTAAAAAGAAAAAACAAATCAAAACAGAAGAGAAGGAGAAGGGAAGGGAACGAAGTAATGATACACATTATAATATGGATAAATCTTGAAACACGCTTACTGAAAGAAGTTAATCATAAAAGGCCACAGGATTGTATGATTCTATTTAAAGGCTGAGCATCCTTAGGCTGGAAATCTGAATTGTTTCAAAATTCAAAACCTTTGAGTCTCAATATGACACCAAAAGTGGAAAATTCCCACATGCCCTCATGTGATGAGCTGCAGTGAACATACAGGCATCCTACACATATTTATTGTCAGGCTTTTTGCATGTGAGGCATAAATGAATTTGGTATTTAGACTTGGATACCCTTCCCTAAGATATCTCATCATGTATCTACAAATATTTAAAAAGCTGATATGTCTGGCCTGGACACGAAATGTCCAGAACAGGGAAAAGTCTGTGGAGGCAGAAAGCGAGTGGTTGGTTGGTTGTCCGGGTGGAGGGGGAAAGGATTCACTGCTAATGGGGATGCAGTCTCTTAAGGAAGACAAAAATGTTCTAAAATTAGATAGTGGTGATAGTTATACAACCTTATGAACAAACTAAAAAACCCCAGTGAATTGCATATTTTAAATAGGCGAATTTTATGGTATGCAAATTCTACCTCAGCACAGCTGTTTGAACTATTCAAAAAGCCACACCTCCTACAATACTCGCTTCCCTTATAAATGCTATCTGACCCCTCCTCAAAAGTTATTGTTCCAGGCAGACTCAATACCTCTAATCACTTCTTCTTTCTCCAATCTGGAATGGTATTTAGAAAGTTCTCTCTCTGGTTTGTTTGTTTGTTTTTTAGTATTTAGAAAGTTATGGAGCCAAATTGTGTTGGGGTTTTAAGCCCTCACCAACACTTGTTAGGGTACAAATCTGTCCATTTTCCCCTCTGCCTCCCTCTTTTTTGCCCACCTTGTACTGAGGATTGAATCTAAAACCTTCACACTGAGCCACATTCCTTATCCTTTTAGAGTCAGGGTCTCATTAAAACATTAAATTGCCTGGACTGGGCTTGAATTTATGCTCATTCTACCTCAGTCTTCAAGAGTGACAGGGTTACACATGTACACTACCACACCTGCTTGTTTATGCCTCAGTTTCTTTATCTGTAGAATGGTATAAAGAAAAGCTTACCTACCTCCCAAGACTTGTGTGGATAACAGGTATAAAATGCCAAAAGCAGTGCCTGGGCTCAATATGAAGCATTACCTATTATTAGTGCATGGTCATAGCCACCTCCCTCTGCTTGTCTCTTTGGTCTCTTCCAGAGCATCATTGAATGCCCTCAAGGAGTGGCACAAAGCCTGTGTTATGAGGCTTGTTTGGATCTCACAAATACTATCACAGACAGGCAGGGGAGAGGAACATAGGGTCACAGCTCCAATTCTAGGAATGCCTGACTTCAGGTCCATGCACAGCAACAGCTGGGCAAATTTAATCCATACAAGGTCTACTGTCAGAAAAAGATCAAGAAACAGTATACCAGAAAGTGCTCCTTAAAATCTTCCACTGTATGGTTTATACTCACCCAAATGTAGAAGTATTAAATACAGTAAGGCGCCAACAGATACCCCAATTTACACATTTTACCCACATTTGCCAAAATCCCCCCATGTTTCATTTATTCATTCTTACTGAGTACCAGTTACATACAAGGCACTATGTGCTAGCTCCCTGATCTGTACGATTCTGCTTTCCCAGGCAGATCTTCTCCTTATGGGGTCTGTCTCCAAATAAGTATGCTCCCAGTTTACTCAAACAAAATCCTAAATCCTCAAAAATTCTTGCACTTGAGTACGATAATTAGTTCTATAAAAAAAAAAGCGCTATTAGCAACAAAATATTTTAGTAGGAGCCAAAAAACCTAGAGGCTGGAAGAATGCTTGAGTTCCTTCCTTTAGATCAGATAATTCAGAAGCTGCCAATTTAATCTGCAGTTATCTTAATTTCATGACCGCTTTCTTATGGAACTTTCAGTTCTGCTCATGATTTTGAGAGAGATACTGCTGTTATTTTTATTTCTTACAATATTTATAGGCATATCTTATCTTTCTTTCTTCTTTCCTTTCTGTTTCCCTCTCTCCCTCCCCCTTTCCATCCTTCCTTCTTCAGATAGAGTCTTGCTGTGTTGCCAGGGGAACTCCTAAGTTCATGCAATCATCCCACCTCAGCCTCCCGAGCAGCTGAGATCATAGGAGGTACCACTATGTCTTTATTTTCAAATGAACAAAAGTTGGGTTTCAAATATTCTGGAGATACTTTGTTCAGTCACTCTAGTACTGTATTTATCTCAAACTCAAACCAATGCTGATGAATCAGAAGGAATTGTGTGCTGTGTATGTGCATGCGTTGCAGTGCAGTGTTGGGAACTGAACCCAGGGCCTCATGTTTGCCAGATAAATGCTCTACCCATCATAAGCTTCATCCTCAGTCCTTTTTATTTTGAGAGACAGCCTTGCTAAGTTTCGCAGACTGGCCTCAAACTTGTTATCCTCTTGCCTCAGTCTCTCAAGCAGCTGAGAGTGGCATTTGCCACCATGCCTGGTGGAAAATAGATTTTAATTTTGGTACACAAACAGATGTTAAATAAATACCTGATCAATGCACCTACTAAAGACTACATCTCTCTAAAAACAGGTAGATACAAGATAACTAAAACCTAGATATATATGGGAATATGTTGTTTTACAGTAGTTTTTGTTCTGGAGTAATTATGGAAACGAAGACAGAGGGAAAAGCTGTCCTACATGGTTTCTGGACTGCTGTCAGCACTCTGGATATAATGAGGACTTCAGGAGAATGACAAAGCAGAGTTATCTGATCACGTCGTGAAGTATACTCTGTGCTACAGGGAAGCCAAAATAAGATAAAAGCTCATTTATTGTTGGAACTATACCAGGGTCAATAGGTAGTGTATGCAATTTATTCTTATTTTCAAAGTAGGTTCTGGGATAGAGTTTCAAATTTTGTAAGTGAAGAAAAGCCCTAGGGTCCTGGTTCTCGGAATTTGCTGCACACTGGAATACTTCAGGATTTTCAAAAAACACCCTGGCTCTCAGCCCCAGATATTTTCTTTTGGAACTCGTCTTGGGTATGAGCTGGACATTGAGAGTTTTAAAGCCTCTCAGGTGACTCCAATGTACAGCAACTCTGACTGCCTCGGGGCCTTTTAAATACCTCACTTCCAGCAACTTACACCTGCGGCCTGAGGATCTTCAACTGAGTCAGGATGTCCGTCTGTACCCTGGAATTGGCAGTGGCGGTCAGAGCCATCACTGGAACAGAAGGGAACTTCTGGCGGAGCATATTCATTCTTTTGTAATCTGGACGAAAATCATGTCCCCACTGTTACAAAAGAATATTTCTTTTCAGATTATTTGGATCTTCCTTATATAAATTATCAACTCTGGTCAATATATTAAAACCACTTTATTCTTCAGTGAAACAGTAGAACAGTTCACTCAATATGGATTTTCCTCAGTTACAAAAAGATCACATTACTGAAGGTATAAACTTACTGTTATCCCAAGAGGGTCAGGGCTGTAGCTCAGTGGTAAAGTGCTTGCCTATTATGCTTAAGGCACTTGGTTTGGGCTCCAGTCATCAAACAAACCAAAAAGACACCCCAATATATCAAGATGCAAAAGCAATATTTACCTGGCTCACACAATGTGCCTCATCAATAACAAAACGTGCCAAAAGCTTCCTTTCATACAGATTCTCCAGGATAGAAATTAGCCGGTTACTCGCACAAACCTAGACCAGAAACATCCGTGATATCTAAATGTATTACCTTAGTAATTTTGTTGTCTCTTAAGTTCCACTACAATTAGGCTGTGTTAAAAACATCTATATAAAACTGTTTCTTCTTACAGTCTACCAGCAAGAAAGCAGAGTAACAAACCTGACACTTTAGAATGTCTATTCATATTCAGTAAGCAGGTATGGATTAGGTCAGTGGCTATAAAATTTTATTCTGCCTTGATACATCTGAGGAACATCACATGTTTATATTGGTGACAGGATTAAACATATATATTGTGTATGTATGTCTGGGGGAAAATTATATATAAATTATATATATATATATATATATATATATATATATTCTATAAAAGTTAAGTAGAATGTATTTTATAGATTTGTCCATGACAGAGTCTAGAACCAATCACATCCAAATACTAACAAGTACACCTGGCACACACATCTTGACAGGAACATGGGGAAAGGGCACAGACATCAGTTTGATAACCTATCTGACTGGTCAAATCTAGGAAAGTTAGCAAAATACATAGTGATGGTGGAGGATGTAGCTCAGTGAGAGAGCACTTGCCTAGCATGTGTGAGGTCCTGGGTTCAATTTCCAGCACTGAGAAAAACAAATTATATATATATACTGTTTTTATTTATATAAATATATATAAGATCTATTACATAATAAAATATTTATATATGACAACCATTACACTGATATAAACAAATATAAGGGATAAAATGGAAAGATTTTCCTTATGGAAGAATAGCAACTAAATTAGGAGGAAAAAAATTGTAATTTGGCATCCATTACAGTAATTACTGACTTGGGAAAGCATCATCAACAGATGCTAAAATTTGTGAGTAAAACTTTGATGTCTAACAGGCTATTTGCATAGTCTCAAAGTATTCCCAAACTGAGTATTTACTACTTGCCAGGGTGGGGAAACAGACACTACGATGGGGAAATCTTCAAGTCTAAGGTAAGCCTTGGTCAGTTAACAGACACGGGGTCAGTTAACAGACACCACCAGGGGAAACAAGAGATAAACTCAAACTGAGGAACAGTTCTTAGAACTGGCCTTCACATTTCAAAAATGCCAAAACCACAAAAGACAAAAGGGAGCAACTGTTTACCTGAAAGGAGATTAATCTAGGTTTTTATAAAGGGCATTACTGGACAACTGGTTAAACTAGAAGACGGCTTATAGATTAAGGAACATTATCTTACCAATGTAATTTTCTGACCTTGGTAATTATACTAGTGTTATGTGTGAGGGTTCCATATTTTTAGAAAATGTACAGTGAGGGGCAGGGGATATAGCTCAGTAGCACACTGCCTCTCTGGCAAGTGCAAGATTCTAAGTTTGATTCGGAGAGGAGAGGGAGGTGAGGGGAGGGGAGGAGAGGAGAGGAGAGGAGAGGAGAGGAGAGGAGAGGAGAGGAGAGGAGAGGGGAGGGGAGGGGAGGGGAGGGGAGGGGAGGGGAGGGGAGGGGAGGGGAGGGGAGCCGAGCCGAGCCGAGCCGAGCCGAGCCGAGCCAAGCCAAGCAAAGAAAGAAAGAAAGAAAGAAAGAAAGAAAGAAAAAGAAAATAAATGCATAGTGAAATGTTTAGGGTTAAAAAGATATCACGGAGCCAGGGATTTAGCTCAGTGGCATAAGCCCCTGCCTGGCAAGTGGACAAGCGATTCCCGATACAAAAAAAAAAAAAATCATGCCTACAACTTTCAATCAAATATTTGAGAAAAATATAGAAAGAAATAACAAAATAATTATAATAAAAGGTCACCATTTGGGTGTTTCTGGGTGAAAGTTAATATGCTGTACTCAACTACTCTGTTGAAGTTTTAAAGGCATACATAGTCTAGGGGCCTTCAATATTATATTTAAAATAATCATAGAATACAAACCTTCTCTGGAGTAACATACAGAAGTTTTATAATTGGATCCTTTTTTGATAGCTGGAGGTAAATACTTGCAGCTTCAGAGTCAGTCTTATCACCTGTCAAATATGTAGCTGGAATCTAAGTGTAAAAGTAACACATTTAAATTTTATACATTTATCTGAGACAATTACCTTTTTCTTTAGGTTTTATAAATACTTTACAACTCATATATCAAACCTATCAAAGGAAACATACATCTCATAATCAATACATATATTTCTTTTTTTTTTTTTTGTCTTTTTCTTTTTTATCGGTACCGGGGATTGAACTCACAACCGCCTGCTTGCAAGGCAGGTGCTTATGCCGCTGGGCTAAATCCCCAGTCCCTAATACATATATTTCTAAAAAGCTTTAATCAGGCATAACTAAAAACATCCTTCCTATTATTTACTGCCTTTATTTTTTTGTTTTTGTATATAACATAAATATGAGTTTAGCAGACAAGAAATTCCAGTACTAACTCTGGCTGCATTTTTTTTTTTTTTTTTTTTTTTTTGTTTAGTGTGTTTTCTAGGTCTTAAGGCACAGTGACAGCAAGGAGGCCAGAACAGTGGTGTGTGGCTGTGCGGAAGTGCTTTGAAAACATTAGACCAGGGTCTTGCTGAGGTGTGGTGACTGATAACTCTGCAATCGATTCTGTTGATGACAACGTGAAGAATTTGGCAGAGCACAGCCATGTACTTCCCTAAACTGGCATGAGGAAAAAAGACCTGCATGTTGTCACAGACATGTGTATGCATTTTAAGACATAAGGGAAGGAGAACTATGCTGATCTGGTAGCAGCAAAAAAATTCCTTTGTAGTAATATAAAATTAATTAGGAAAATGTGAATGAAAAGTTCTTACTAAAATATACTCATAAAATGAGATCAAATTAGATGGTTATATATATGTGGATTTTCCAACACTTGTGCTTAACTGTACAACTTAACTGTTGTTACTCTCTCTCTCTCTTTTTTTTTTTTTTTTTTGTCTTTTTTGAGACGGGGTCTCACTACGCGGTTCAGACTGGCCTTGAGCTCACTTTGTAGCCCAGGCTGGTCTCGAACTCACAATGATCCTCCCACCTCAGCCTCCAGAGTGCTGGGATTACAGGCGTGCCCGGCTCAACTGTTGTTACTCTTATAATTCAAGAACTTACTTAAAAGTTACCTGAAGTACTGAAATGTAATTATTTCTAACACCCACTTTTATTAGTGTTTTTGTCTTACAACTAACTTACGTCCAATGAAGTCAACTTTTGGACCTGATCTACTATTAGCGATCTCAAGGGAGAAATGACAATAGTGACCCCAGGCAAAACACAAGCAGGAAGCTGATAACACAAACTTTTGCCACCTCCTGAAAGACAAAAGATAGAAAAACTCTGTTGGCTTCTAGCTTGAGAATATAAAGGTAAAAGATGCAAAAGAAATTACATATAATATTCAAAAAATGCATAGGCTACCAAGTATGTTGTCCATAGTGTTGACAATGTGCTATACTGAGTGACACAAACTAGGCAATTTCAATGTGTAAAAGTGATCTTTTAGAACATTTTACTATAGGCACATGCAACAGCAGAAGCAAGATTCAGAGCAAGAAATAAATGCAATGGAACTGCTTAAAAAGTTTACTTGGAATAGCTAAGCATAATAACTTTTTGATTTCTGGCAGTATAAAAGGCTTATAAAAACCATAATACTAACCTAAAATAATTACTTTTTATATAATGCATATATTTTTAAAGAGTTGGAATATAATGAAATATACAGTACTAAAAACTACTAAACCACAACCCAGCACCTCTCTAACTAGAGGCACTTTCAAAACCCCAGCCCCCTTGGCGCTGTGGTGGCACACACCAGCAGTCCCAGCACGTGGCAGGCTGAGTGGGAGGACTTCTAGGAGTTTAAGCATAGCCAGGACTACACAGCAAGAGCAGATCTCAAAAAACAAACAAACAAACAAGCAAGATGTCAGCTCTTTTTTTATTATTAGTATGAGCTTTCCAACACTGGGGTGAGAAGCTTGAACTCTCAGCACTCCTATTAGAGTAATGGTCCTAACCTCCTTTGAAATAAAGATAGGACTATGCTTGGCTGTCCAAACAAGATGAAGAAAAAATTTTGAAATGTTCTTGCCACGTAACCCTAATTCAAAAAGCCAAGACAGTGAGGACACATTTTTCTCCGTCTCCTTCAGTGCTGGGTACAGAACTCAAGGCCATATACATGCTAGACAAGTGCTCTATTACTCAGCTGTGCTGTCAGCTCCATGTGCACACTTCAGAGTAACTGAAATGATCATGCATTATTCAATTTTCAATTTCACTAGTTTAAAATGACAGAAGCTGGTATTAAGCAGTTTTTAGGACCTCAATTTTTTCTTTTAACTATTCATTACACTCTTTTTTTCACATGAATAGTAGGTAAATTCACTTTGCTATATATGTGGAAATGTCAAGGAAAGAACAGGATGTGAAGAATAAAAAGAAGTGCTCTAACACATAATTAGCTATTTGTATGGAGACATGCCATTTACCCTTTAACAGACATTAATTTTAACATCCGCAACATGCGTTATGTAAATGGTTAAAGAATTTTTTTTTTTTTGGTCTAAAATAAACCTTATTTTGAATCGTTACATATGTATCAGTTAAGAAGCTGAAACTGGGGTGGGGACCTTTAAAATGCCAGGATCCTTCCAGTATAGAGTTTTCAAGGGTTAAACCAGGATTGAAACAAAGATATAGAATGATCAATGAGTTAATAAAATTTGAAGGGTTGATTAAGTCAATATTATCTTAATTTTAAAGTGAGCTGGAAAAAAATTCAGATGCCAAGTCAACATTATGTAATAATGATGGCAATATCTGACTTGCTAAAACAAAAGATAGAGAGAGGGCTAATGGTACTAACATTTCAGATTTTCCTTTGTTTTATCCTAATTGCTTATTTAATATTCTTATATACAAAAACTGTTATATGGATTACTATAAATTAGCAGTGTTACAAGCTTTACTGGCAGAGTAAAATCTTTTTTCTGCTTGTTGCTTTAATTTTTTTCAATCAGATTTTATGGGTACATTTTAGATATACAGAGATCACATTCATCAGCAGAGTGAAAAGTCTTAGACTCTTCAAAATAGGGGGGAAGGCCAGGGATACAGCTCAGTGGCACACGTGAGGGGGCCTGGCAAGTGCAAGGTCCCGAGTTCAATTCCCAGTACTAAAAAAAAAAAAAAAAAGTGGGGGACAAGAAGGCACACAGAACACTTTATAGTCACATCTCCACTGCAGACGAAGAGGAAATGGGTGGAGGTAAAGTGTCTTGTCTGAGGTCATATGGCTCAGCAGAAACAAGGCTGCCCTTCAAGCCCACGCTATTACTCTGCAGCCCTTGATTTCTACCACCAGTTACCACTAGACTATATTTTAAAAACTTAGAAACCATCAGGGCCTCTGATAATGATTTTTTTGTTGTTATTCACTTTCTAGGCTTATTTACCTCAGAAAAAAGAAAAATTCCCAAAGAAAAATTCCAGATCAAATCAATACAGTGAGCTTTAAATTAAAAATCTTAAAAGGGCTGTAAACTTTATCATGTCAATAACTAGAACAAAGAATATGAGATGATATACTTCTTAGGATGGCACGGGAGGTTTAACAGGTCTCTAAACGATAGAAATGCTGTGTAGGTGCTCTTTTATTTCTATTAAAGAGCTTTCATTTAACATCTGCCAATGGCTTCTTGCTAATTCATATCTAAAAATACATACCAGTGGGCATCAGGATAAAACAGTCTTCACCAAGCAGTGTGGCATTGATCGCCTCAAGCTGATTAGTTCTAAAATTATGCAGGCCAAATTTTTTGTGAAAAATCTTCATCATTTCTTTAGTATGAGGAAAACTAAGACTCTGGAAGCGCTCCTGGCTTGTATTTCTGGATGCTAAATTTTGTGTCAGCTTGTCTATGAAAACAATTAACATTAAGAAAGACCAGTGCATTAATGTAACTACAGTTTTAGCATTTAACCTTGCCCTGCAGAACCACTGGCACACCTACAGCACTGTGTTCTTTACAGGGCTTCTTCCTGACAGTCCCAAGGCTACCAGCAAACCCCTAAAGGCCCAAATCAAATCTTTGAGTTTTCTGCAGCTCCTACCAACACTACTTTTCCTCTTTTCAATGCTACTTCAACGTTCAAGGGCTTCTATTTGTTTTGTTTTATTTTATTTCATAGTGTGGCAGGCAGAACACAGGGCGTTGTGCATGCTAGGCAAATGCTCTATTACTGAGTTACACTTCCACTCCTCCACTGGCTTCAGATCCCCCTTTTGGGTGCACCCCACTCCTGCTTCTATCTCCTCCACTGGCTTCAGATCCCCCTTTCTGGGTGCACCCCACCCCTGCAGTACTGGGGATTGCACCCAGGGTCTTTGTCCTAAGCATCCCACCCCCTGCAGGGTCTTTTGAAGTCATTAAATTGCCCAGGGTGGGCTTGAGCTTCCCAGTGTTGGGAATACAGGGTTATACCACAACACCTGAATTTTCCTTCTGCCCCTTGAATTTGCCAGACTTCAGATTCTCAGGACTGGGCTCTTCACACACACATTGTTTTTTGTAAATTTCCTAAGTCCTGGTTTTTTTTTTTTCCCCCAAGAAAGTATCTCATTGTACAGTTCAGGCTGGGCTTGAACTCACTTTGTAGCCCATGCTGATCTCAAACTCACCATAATCCTCCTGCCCCAGTTTCCCAAGTGCTGAGGCTGAGGCATATACTACCACACCTAGCTTTTTAAATCCTATGATTTTAAATCCTGCATACAAAGAAGTTTTAGATCTCTCCTGATACCTTCTTAAACCCCCTCCCTACAGCCATCTCCCCCTGTCGACAGGAAATGTCCCAATGAGTGACTCAAGAACACTGCTCCTGACAAATCCAAAATAGCCCTCCTCAGCTTTTCTCCAAACCCACTTCTGCCTCCTGACTCCCTTGTTTTTGTGAATGGTACCAATGGGTCTGAAACCTCAGTTGTCTGAGTTCTCAGTCCTCTTTCACAGTGGCTCTCACAGTCGCCTCTGTGTGTCCCTGCAGGGGCTCCTTGGCTCAGGAGAGAACAGAAGCTCATGCCAGCTCGGCAGCTTCTCTCACCCAACACTCAACTACCTCCAAGATAATTGCAAGGATCACGTATGACACATTCTAACAAGATACCAAAATAAACCCATTAGGACCATTTTAAAGGTCAACAGCGTAGCAGTGAGAACTACCTCCAAGGTATTAAGTCATCAAAAAATAGGGAGGGCTGTACTTTATAAAACTGTGTATATACACTTATTTCAGTTAAAAACAGTGTGATAACTTTATAGGGATTATGTAAAGTTGAAAAATTCTATTTGGCTTTACTCTGGAGTCTTTACAGCAGCCAACTTCACTCCTTTAGAAGCTCTTCTCACTAAATTGGGAGCTCCAAGAAGCAGAAATGACTTGTTCTTTATCCTTCTAAAATCACCAAAACTGCAGCTGGACCTGGTGGTACATGTCTGTACTTAGGAAGCTGAGGCCAAGGCCAGCTTGGGTTACACAATAAATTTGAGGCCAGTATGAACCACATAGAGAGACTCTGTCTCAAGAAAACAAAAAACAAAAACAAAAAAAATCATCAGAACTAGCACTGGAGATAGTACATTGTAGGCATTCAACAAACATCTGTTGAACAAATGAAAAGGATTTTAGGTCCAAAGAATAATCTAGTTGCTTTTAGAAAATTTTTAAGTCATAACCTTCTTAGACCGCCCTATATTGGAGTATTTCAAGACATAAAATGTTGCAGTACTTTATAATCGTTTGTCATCAATCCAGAATTGTAACACACTTTTAGCGGACAAATTTACCTTTTCTTCTTCCCCATCGCAAAAATCATTGAAAACTTGGGCCTCATGAGCTTCACTGTTTTAGGGACTAAAAAATGTTACAGACAAAGCACACTGTAATGACTTTAGAGCTTTACTACAAAAGCTTATAATTACACATTTTATAAAACTACAGCTGCTACCGAGACAAAAGAGTTACTAGCTTTTAAAATTGTGATTTGTAATTCACATTACAGTAGAAATTTGCATAGAAACAATGTGGTTTTCAGGCAGTGATGACTTGCTGTGGTTTTTCTTACACCACTCCTATTTTGGGACAATTTTGTTTTCCTATAATATTTAAGCATTCAATGTATTTTAAACTTACCAGTGTGATGTGGAACAACAGAAGCCCCTGGGAGAGAGTGCATCTTGGCTAAAGCAATCTTCTCTGATATTGACTTAAGTGGCCCACCTTTCTGGATAGGCTGACATGCAGCTGTGGAAGTTTTGTTAGCTGTTAAGTCCTGCATTATTTTTTCCCAGTCATCATCATCATCAAAGTCATCGATATTGAAATTATCAACATCAGGGGACGCCTGGCTTTCTCTTTCTAAGTTATTTACTGAAGCAGCATGTTTTTTCTGATCTTTCACAGCAGTGCTTGTGAGAACATTTCCTGGGAAATAAGAGCTCTCATTTCTTTTTTCTACCCTTGGTGTTTCAGCCCAGTTGCTACTGACAAAGGACTTCTGTAAATGGGAACTGAATAAAGGTCTTTCAAAAGGAGTGCTCGAGGTGGCTGAGAATCCTGTCTTTCCTGGGGTGGTGTTCAGTAAACACTCCCTGCTGAAAAGAGAATTTGAGGGAAGGTGTGGAACATGCGGGCCCTTAATAGAACTCTCTGCAGGGCAGCAGTCATCCTCCACAGGGCTACCAAGTATATCAGGGTTGTGTTTCCACACTGAATCAAGATTGGCATCATTTCTAGCGAAATCTGCTTCACTTAGGAGTTTCCTTCTGGAGAGAAAAGAGAACACTATGATAAATATAAGCAATTTACTAGATTGGCCACAAAAGTTTATCTTCAGTTTTCAACCCAAACAGAAATTGTAATAAAATATAATCTTTTTTTCCTGGTCTCAAAAATGTGACTATAAATCCTAAAGGAAAGTCTGAAAAATAAATTCAGAACTTGGTCATGTGATGATCACCCTTCTGCAATGTCCAGGCTGGGAACCTGAGACACATTTGCCTGTCTATTTTCTGACTCACAGTGGTAGAAAGGCAGCCAGACATATCCCAAAGGAAAGAACTCAAGGTACCTTCGGTTCCGCTGCTGAAGCAGCTCGTCTCCACAATCCAAAGCTTTCAGTTCATCAAGAGGAATAGTGTCAACTAATTTACAGATGTGCTCCATCACAAGAAGAAGCTGCTGCTGCAAACTGATCGGTCTGGCTACAAAGCAATTAGGTTGTTAATATCTTTCACTGGAAGCAAAGACTTAAGACTCTGAAAGTCATGACGTAAAATGTGAAGCAATATAAACACAAAATCATAAACGACAATATATTGTAGTATGATCTGCTTGTGAATTAACTTGAAATCAGATGCTCTATTTTATAGCATGTTTTCATTTAATTTTAAGATAATAATACTCAGGGTAAGCAAAGTCACTGGAAGATACACAGTAATACGATTCTTTTACTGACTTTATGGGTAAATGTCACTGTGACAACACAGGGTACAAAGAAGCCCCCTGCTGTTTTGGCTGCCTGGCACTAGGCTTCCCCCTGATGCTCTCACCACAGTACAGTGCGTAAGTTTTCTTTCTGGAGACCTCCTCTCCCATTTCCTGGGTAAGCAGCTGATAGGAGGCAGCCTGATGAGAATTACAATAGTTCTGGAGTCTCTCAGCTAACTGAGAAAGAACATCTCTTTTCAACAAGCTTGAAAGATTGCTGGTGGCCACCTCTGCCACCACCCAGAGAAAGACAGTACAAAGGAAAGCAGAAAACAGAAACAGGTGGAGTTGAGATGGAAAGACAGGACGGAAGAGGACTCAAGGAGGCGATTCCTGAGATGATGCTTGGACCATGAATGTAGGCAGCCTGCCGACGTGTTTTGTTCTGTTTTTTTATTTTTTGCAGTGCTAGGGATCAAACTCAGGACCTAAAACACCCTCTATCACGAAGTTATGTTCTACTCTCTGGTGGTACAAACAAGATAAGTCACTTAATAAACCAGACATGCTAGTCATGCACATACCTCTAGTGGTTCAAGCTACCCATGAGTGAGACAAGAATTACAGTTCCATCGTGAACATGTTAAGTCAAATAACTAAGAAACAGAATTTCAAAGGAGTTAATGTTTTAGATGAAGGAGAAAGGAAGCAAAGAAAATGCTTAGATGCCTGTTCAACTTCTAGGGCTTAAAGTGTATGGTGTAAAATAGGTTTGTTTATTTTGGTACTGGGAATCGAACTCAGGACCTTGCGCTTGCCAGGCAGGCACTTACGCTGCTCAACTAAATCCCCAGCTCCTGTTTATTTTTCTTGCAGTACCAAAGAGCGAACCCAGTCTCTACACCATCCTACATCCCTGGCCCTCCCAGAAACCTGGGGCCACAGGTGTGTACCACAATAACTGGCTGAGAAACAGTCTACTTAGAGAACAAGGAGAGAAAGAAGGGGGAGAAAGTGTTCAGAGAAGAGAATGAGGCAACATGGGTACAAATTAGGAGCAGTCAGCTGAGGGGTAAAAGGCAGAAAGAAGGGAGAAGTAGAGAGCCCACAGCAGGGCCAACAGAGGACAGAGGAGGGGGAGACAATCATCTGCGTGAGAAATGGGCTTCTACCGTGACTGGAAAACAGGGACGCTGAGATGGTAGAAGTGGATTGCTAAATTCCTGTTACTTCTGTCTTCTATGCAAGGCAAATTAGCATCAGACTGGAAAGAAGAGAATGCACAGGGGCAAGGGGTTTAGCTCAGCAGCACAAGTGCCTGCTTAGCAAATACATGTTGTGAGTTCAATCCCTGGTACCAAAGAAAAAGAAAAAAAAAAAAATGGAAGAAAAGAATGCACAATGGTCTGAGGAAATGGAAGCCAAGATAGGCTCAGAGAGCTATGAATACCCCAGCTAATAGGAAGGGGCTCAAATCTCCTTCACAGAGATTATACTTCAGACTACAAAGGAAACCCACAAACAAGACGGCAGAGGCCTTACCGCTGATATGTGAGGCAGCTAATGAATGAGAGTTGATAAAACATGAGGCCGAGCATTGTTCTAATCTTTTTTTTTTTAAATCGATTGCAAAAAGCTAAAGGCTAGTGATCTTGATATTAAATCAAGCAAAATTCTAGAACATGTTAAGATATTGCCGCTTTGTGAGCCGTAAGAGTAAATAATTACAGAGTAAGCAGTGTTCATGAAAACAGAGTAGCCACCCTGATATAGTCCCTTCTCTGAAAGGATTACTAGACTAGCAGATAAAAACAGCCACCACTTGGCAAGGCCTACAGAATACCTCGAGTTCTGATAACTAGCCAGCAAGGTAGACACTGTTTCCCTTACTTCATAAAGAAAACGAAGGCCCAGTGAAGCTTAAATGATCTGCCATTTGCACACAGGAGAAGACAGGTTTCTGTGGCAGTCTGTGTCCCTCCAGGGCCCATGCTCCTCCTGCTCCCTCTTACTTCCTGGGACTCTCCAAAGAGAAGCAAGAAAAGCCTGGTCAGAAAGTGGATCTGTCACTAAGAGCGATACACGCAATGATCATAGCTAAGAGGGAGGCCCCAGTGACACGCTGGAGAGTTCTGCGTCCTTGGCCTAGGAGCTACTTTATCAGTGAAACTTAACAATACAAAACAAGATAGCCCGGTGGCTATCAGGGCCTTAAGCTGGCCACATTCGAGTCAGCTGCTATCTAACACTGTGACTGTAGAGAATAAGTCCGCTCTCCTGTACCTTAGTTTTCTATTTGTAAGGTACAGAGAATAGAGACTATATTAAAGGGCGGGCGTGAGGATTAAAATTACACTGAAGTTGACAATGTAGGGCTCTGAGGAGTGCCTGGGACACCAACTATTTCAGGAACATCTCTAACAATAAATTCAGAAGTCAAAATAAATAGAATTTCAGAGGAAGCAAAAACACTATATAGGTACATTAGGTACACATGCTATATGCAAAGTACGGCATCTTTCATACTAGATATTTAGTAGAAAAATATTTAAAAAATAATCAGAAACAATGAAAATAAATAGCCCAAAGAGTGTTAAACTTTGAATGGACATCTGGCCCCAGAATATATACAAGGGAGAACCACAAGGATGAAAGATCTATAAACCAGTATCTATCAAAGTTAAAAGACAATATTTAGCCTCAAGGAAACAAAACAAAACCAATTTCTAGAAGCTTTATCTCTACCTCAGAGGGTTCAAGTTACAGAGAGGCAAATTCTGGCTTAGTATGGGAAAGGACTGTCTACCAGTAGCATTTTTAAGATATAGAGAATGAACCTTGTGAGAGCCTTGAGTTTTTTAATTCAAGCAAATACTGGCTAACACATGAACAGGAAATGACTCTTTGATATTAGAACATAAGGCACAATATGTTTTTTGGTCATTTTGTTTTATATGGCCACAGGATGAATATGCAATCTTACTTTGTTTACACAAGCAATTATCTGAGATATGTGATATGTCTAAACATCTGATGGCTTAAAATCATTTTATACCATCACAGTCCATACTGATTTCTGGATTGGGCTCCTGTGTCGTCAATTTCTCTGGTTTCGACAAAAAGTCCTTTGATGTGTTAACGTTCTCCTCGTGGTCAGAGGCATCGAGATCCTTTAATGTACTTTAAAAAAAAAAAGTTCAACCAATCATACAACAGACCAAATAAATGTATAATTCCCCCATAACATTTTTCTATAACTAGTCAGACAATATATAACAGATAAAAGAAGTATGTTTTCATGTCTATGCTAAGCCTCTTTAGTTGGACCTCAAAGTCTTCCCATTTTCTGGTCCCAAGAGATATTTTTAAAGTTCTAAAGAGAATTATGTTCCTTCAGCAAGCCTAGGCTCCAATCATATTGCACCACATTCCTCATAACCCTGTGTTGTCTATTTTAGAGGTTTTTCTCTTTTCTTAATTCCAAAAAACTTCCATAAAGCTCTGTACACAATCAGACCTGTTCTCACAGGCCCAGGCTAAATGTTACTTCTGTTATTTTCAGCAAGGGGTTCCCAACATCTCTCTTTGGCTTCATCCTTGTGGCTGTCCCTCGCATATATTCTGGGGCCAGATGCCCATTCAAAGTTTAACACTCTTTGGGCTATTTATTTTCATCGTTTCTGATTATTTTTTAAATATTTTTCTACTAATATCCAGTATAAAAGATGCTGTACTTTGCTTTTAGCATGTGTACCTAAGAGATTCTAATTCACTTTGTCTGGATTTTTGGTATGTCAAGATGTATATATGTATAGTTGTGGGTCTGTATAAGATGACTGACTTATACAGATTATACAAACAGATATTAACTATAAACATGGTCAGTTGGATTGGATAGAAAAAAATTATAAACAACAAAAAAATTAGAACTGAGTGTTAAAAGAGAGGGTACTGTGGAAACTCAAAGTAAGAACCTGTTTTGGAGTTTGAGCAGGCTTTGCTGAAGAGATCAAATTTGAGCAAACCTTCAGTGATAGGTAGGGGGAAAGTGACTAGGAAGAAAGATAAAAAGACATTTCTATTTGCTTGGTATCCAGGCATCAGCTGTTATTTTCCAACACAGAATTCTGAAGTGCAGTTTTCTAATTAAATCAAAAGACTGATGACTATTTTTGTATTGATTTTTAAATAATAACATATTACCATCAAAGAAAATGGCTATATTTTAGCAATGCTTTTCTGGGGTGACTTGAGGCTCAAAAGAACTTTGGGTTATTGCAAGGGTGTGACTGGAGATAAATCTGAAAAATGAAGCTGGGCACACTCATGTGTGCCAGCACGCCAACTACTTGGTAGTTGGAGGCAGGAGGGACACTTGAGCCCAGGAGTTCACACCAGCCTGAGACACAACAAGGCCACGGGTTTTTTGTGGCAGGGGCAGTTTGGGTCTCACTTTATAGTGCAAACCAGCCTTGAACTGGTGGTAATCACCCTGCCTAAGACTTCTAATTGTTGGAATTATAGGCCCACACCTGGCAATGCCTCACTTCTTGGGAAAAATATTGCTAAAAAGAAAATTTGGAACTGAAAATAAAAGATTTTGAGAGCCAGTGTCTTACTTTTTTTTCATTGCTGAGACAAAATACCTGATACCCAAAGTTAAAGCAGAAAAGGTTTATGTAGCTCAGTTTGCAGTGGTTTCAGTCTATAATTAGCTGGCTCTAAGGCAAGATGGCATGGCAGAGGGGCATCACAAAAAAAAAGTTTATGGCAGGCAAAAGGTAGCCAATAACCCTAGCACTGCACCATGGATTAGTCGCATACTCTAGATTCAGCCACCTCTGATCTATGCTTGCATGAGGCTTTATGGGGATATTCAGACACAAGCCATAGCAGCTAGCTACAGAGGCATTAGAATACAGGAGACAAACATCTCTCTCTCTTCTCTATTATATACTGTCTGACATTCAACCTCAAAAATTCAGAGGATACAATGAGCATTAAAAAATAATGTATATTATACGTATCATTTAAAAAACTATTTCAGATTTATAACATATACAGATATGTATACTAGGGTACAATGTAAAATACAGAGAGAATCAACCTTGTATATAACCATTTTCTAACTGCCGACAATCTAGGTAAAGTTACTTATGCCATGACAATTAAATTGTATAGTCATTAAAGGGAATAAAAATGAGCAATATGGAAAATTTTTTAAGTAAAGAAAAAAGCAGAATATAAAATTATTGTTGCATCTTGATTATAACAATGCAAAAATCAAACACACATTTAAAGAGTCAAACACAAAGAAAATGATTTGCTGAATTCTGGGAGTACAGACATCTCCTCATTCGAAATAATGTATAAAGTGGCTATAATGTCATGTGTGCCATATGCACTTTTTAATAAACAAAGGAAAAAAAAAAAAAAGCGAGACATATAACAAAGTCCCTGGATGGCTTAGGAGGGAGCACTGCACTGAGTCTTTGTCCGTCTGTCATCAAGAGTTTCATCCCAGGCAATTGCATGCTCTTCCCTGAGCTCTGCTGTTTCTCATTAAATGAGAATGCTGATTTAGATGAACTCGTGCTCAGTATTCTACCTTTCTTCATCAGGAAGGAAAAGAGGAAGAGAAGAAAAAAAAAAGAGGAGTGCCCTTATGGTTTTTAGTCTTGCCATCAAACAATAACCACATTTAAACCTTTCCATATTCATGTTAAAAGCACAAAATTGGCGGGGGGGGGGGAAGCTGGGCGTGGTGGCTCACGCCTGTAATCCCAGCACTCAGGAGGCTGAGGTAGGAGGATTGTTGTGCGTTCGAGACCAGCCTGGACTACAAAGTGAACTCAAGGTCAGCCTGAACTGCATAGAGAGACCCTGTCTCAAAGCACAAAACAGGAGAAATGAAACTAGATTATATGATACCTTCTTCCTTCCTAAATTAAGATGATATGCTACAAGGATCTACTTCTCATCAAAATAATGATTAAATAGTATAGTATACACTCCACCACAGAAGTGGACTGTTAAATTAGATTGGGGGAGGCATTAACAGTAATTTTGAGCAGGGCATGGTGATACATGCCTGTGATCCAGCACTCAAGAGGCTAAGGCAGGGCCATTTCAAGCTTGAAACCAGTCTTGGCTACAAAATGAACTAAAGGCCAGCCTAAACCGCCTGCATAGGGAGATCCTGTCTCAAAAGACAAAAAAAAAGTAATTTAAATTATTGATAGGCCTGGCAGAATGTCTATTTCTCTCTTAGGATTCCCAATTAACAATATTGTCATTTACTTACTAAAATTCAGTGAATGACAAATAAATATTCACTTGTAGGACTAAAAAGCCCCAATATATATATATATATATATATAAATTCATTTCTCAAACAGTGAATTAGCTTTGTGAACAAATTAGCTGTGTGAATTAGCTTTTCAAGTCTAGGAGTCTGGAAATGCAATATTTTACATCCCTCATGTCAGAATCAACTACACAAGATTCATTTATGGCCTCATGTAATTAATCTTTTTTTTCATGTAATTAATCTAATGAGTGTTATAATGTTAGAGCACTACTAATTTTTCAAGAATATATAAAGAAGAATTTTTGATGCCTTCATTTAGATGCAAGATAAACTGCAGAAGCACAAGAAGCACAAAGCATGTTTATGTAGAAATGATACTATATAATATATATATATATATATATATATTTTTTTTTTTTTTTTGGGTACCAGGGATCGAACTCATGACCTTGTGCTTTCAAGGCAGGTGCTTAGGCCGCTGAGCTAAATCCCTGGCCCTGATACTATATAATTAAATTACATCACTTAAAAGTATCCCATAACGGCTGGGGATTTAGCTCAGCGGCCTAAGCGCCTGCCTTGCAAGCAGGCAGTTGTGAGTTCGATTCCTGGTACCAATAAAAAAAAAAAAAAAAAGAAAGAAAGAAAAAAGTATCCCATAAACAAATAATGTTTACCATTACTTATTTTACCTAAAGCATTTCAAAGAAGAGGAAGAGGCAGAAATACTTTGTTCTTCTGGAGAAGGTGGGACAAAATCGATATAATCATCGTCATTATGCTCAACACACGTAGCCTTCTCAGTTGAATATAGTTCAACATCTTCCTCATTGTGCTTTTCATTATTATCTAAAGTAAAGCAGGAGGCAAACACAGGCTATTTTAATAGTTAACGAGACAGAAAGAACATGGCACAAGCACTTAGGAGGGAGTGCTCTGGGCAAACCAGGAACAGTTGCAGCACGCCACAAGGAGTCCTGTCCTTTCCCGCATTAATGTTGGCTGACTTCCTTCTAAGAGATTAGTGAGTCAACTGGACTAAGTCCAGTGGACACAGAATTAAGGCTGAAGATTTGCTTAGGGATTTTTATGACTGTCTCTAGTTAAATCAAGAAACCCATTCTTAGTATTTTCTATTTAAGTAAGAGTAACATGCAGCAAACAAATCTATTAGCACTACACTGTTCCTTGTACAGATCTACTTTTCCTAGGCTCCCCAGTTACAGTGCTAAGTCTCTCTTGGACTCAACATAATGTCATGCTGGTGCTATCTAGTTTAGTGCTTACCAAGTGTTCGCTTCAGAAACAGCAACAAAATTCATTATAGCTCTGCTCAGTACTGATTATTTTCCAGAACTCATTTGCCCTACAGCAAACTTGATGAAATTCAGGTGTTTAAAACTCTGAGTGGGGTGTGGAGTTGTATGCTCGTAGTCCCAGCTACTTGTGAGCTAAGGAAGAAGGATGGATTGAACCAGGAGTCTGGCCAGCCTGGGCGAGACCCCATCTGTTCATAAAAATGTGTTTATCTCTTATTTACCACCATTGTCACTTATACATACGGCTATGTCAGTTATCAAATTTTGGACATAGACCTGTGCAGAAAATACTCTAGATATAATTTACAATATAGTCAAATACCACATTTCAGTCAACAGACAACATGAAACATATTTAAAAAATTCTTCTGGTGTTATAAGAAAATGCATTACTCATGTGTTTATGGTGATGCACTTATGCACAATACACAGTAGATGATGTAATGAAGGGAAATATCTATGTTACTGCCTTATGTATTCACTAGGCTATACATTTTATTATTTTAGGGTATATGTCTATTTATTTTTTAAAAAGTTGCTATGAAATAATCTCAGGTAAGTACTGTCATCTACCTTTGAGGAGTATCCCAAACTGGAAGTAGTGGTGCACCCCTATTATTCCAGCACTCTGGATGCTGAGGTAGGAGGATCTCCAAAAGTTTGAGGCCAGCCCGGGCTAACTAGTGGGCTAAGCCAGCCTGAATGACACAGTGAGATCCTGTCTCAAACAAAACAAAAAATGGAATTCTAGGAGAATGCAAAGGTGATGATTGTCCCAAAGACCTTCCAGTGGGACAAGATGTTGAGATAGAATGATTGACCTGGATGACTGGGCCTAAGCTAATGTGCATGTTTGTCTTAGTTTTTAACAATTTTTTTTCATGTAATATTTTAATTTCTCAAAAGCAACATTCACCTGGGGGTGGTAGCCTATGCCTATAATCCCAGCACTGGGGAGGCTGAGGCAGGAGCATGTTTTTGTTTCAAACTAAGAATAATTATAAAAAAAGTCAAAAAGTTAAAAATTAAAGCTAGTAAAGTAAAAAAGTTAGCGTGAACTAAGGTTAATTTATTATTGGAAGAAAACACCTTTCAACCCCGAGTGGCCTCAGAGCACAGTGTTTGTAAAGCAGGCTCCTCCTGCCCCGCCTCACCCACAGAAGCCGCGTCCTGGGCTGGGCAGCAGCAACGAGGGCCCTGCAGGTGCACCCCTTCATCCTTCAGCCTCCTTTTACTGCGTCTGCCCTGCATTTAGGTGTATGTAGCTCCGGGAACTTTTCCCATTGTGATCCAGGTGCCCACTGTGTTCAGTGCAGTGCAGGCCACGCCACACAGCCGTAGGGTGCGGCCCTGGGTTTGCTCTGTGGTGATCACAATTGCGAGATTCCTAATGACACAGTTTGTTAAATACATCATCATAATGACGTGGTGCCTGACTTTACTTCACGGGCATGATTATATTGCATCATTCATCCATATTTGGTGTATCACTTAAGGAATTACACATACTGCAAAGCTCAGGTTCACTTTCCAAGTGTGTCACTAACCCGACACTTTAACTTCCATGTACCTTATTTTCTTCATGTATAAAGTCACCAGGCTACTCTTGGTTTCATGGAAATATATCAGCAGCATAAACCTTCCATTTCATTGATATGTCCTACCTCAAGAATGTGGCCAACGGATTATTCAATAAGCATGTCAACAGATCCTAAAACTCTTAAGGATGAAAGTTGTATGTGTCACTGTCTCCAATGCCTTGTTTTAGATTAGAAAAGATATTCAATATATGGAAATGAAGATAGTTTTTACCTCTTTCATCTCCCAAACGATTCAAAGACTTACTTTCCTGAGTATCTTCACTTGTAAGCACTTGGGGAACAGAGTCATCATCAATGCAAATCATACTACTTTTTAACCATTTCAAGTCATGTTTTTCTTCCTTAGTCAAGTCTACCACCGGCTGGCTTTCAGACTGAGTCAAATCTGCCTTCACAATACTTGTTTTATGAGGTGGTGCCTTAACAAAAATTCTCTTGGCCTTTTTTGATTTCTGAGCAGTGCTTACTCTTATGAGGTGATTTTTAGGTGGTGTAGCAAATACTTTCGACGTTTCTGAGGTATCAAAGTCATCTAAGTCGTCCCAGTCATCCATAGTACAGAAAGAATCTTGGGAAGAACTAAATTCCAATTTCTTGAGAACAGCATCATAAGGTTTCTTTATAGCTGATGTGTTTCGAGTAGCAGGTAAAGCTTCCTGTGAAGTTTTCAACAAATCTACCAGTAACGGTTTTGAACCAAGTCCTTGGCCTTGTTGTCCTGATGTAGCATTTTTAAAGAAGCCATTCACCTTTGTCTGTTGATTTGGAGTATGAGGTGGAGGCTCAGTGAAGGAAAAGACCTCTGACACATTCACATCTTTATCACTTAACACTGGTGCTTTTGCTACTGACACACTAGTTATAGAAGCATCGTTATCTGAAGATGTTTTCTTTTTAAAAGTAAAACCACTGGAAAATAAAGAAATATTGGAATTAGATGAATTCATTTGTTGTTGGTGCTACAAGTTGAACCCAGGACATTGTGTGTGCTAAACAGACACAAATGAGTCAAATCCACAGCCCCTAGAATACTGGTGGCGAACCTATGGTCCATGTGCTGCAGCAGGTCACTGGTATCACTGAGAGCTCTGAACAGTTTGCAAGTACTGCAAAATGAATGCACAAACTCATCCACTCTACAAAACTAAAATTTTTTACTAACTTCTATGGCATGTGACATTAATTATATTAAACGAGCAAAGAATGTAACTCCTTGTGTGATTTGAAAATTTATCAGGTAACTTAAATTATATTTTGTGCACTCTGATCTTTCCCATTCAGAGGCTGGCAACTCAGTTTGGAGCATACCCAGGCCATCCTTATACTTTATTTCTCAGGCTGGGAGCCTTTTTATCAGCACCTCCGGAAGGAAGCAAAGCACATGGAGAATGGGGCAACTCAAATGTGTATACTCTTTGCTCCTCTGGTAAGAATTTCAAAGGGAAAAAAAGAATTAAAAACTGCTAGCTGTGCTGAGATCTGAAGGACACGCAAAGGAGGCAGGAGCTCTGGCTATTTGCCAGATTTTTTTGACACGAAGGTCAGTGGTGACTGTCTAAAGTCAAGCCCCAGCAGCACTGTGTGCCAAGTGCTAAGGGTACAGCATATAATACTAATTACTGTGTTGTTACATATCATTAGGAGCTTAGAGCGTAACTTATAGGAGAGGGGGAGAACTGGAGAGCTACACTTGCCTTATATATTCTTTTGGGAAGCATATTATCCATCTATTCAACAAATCTTTATTAAACGTGCATTATGAAGTATAATAAAAATATGAATGTCTCAATTGAAAGTAAAAATGTATTACAATAAGACACTTTGTCATTAATCCTCCTCAAAATACTCTCTGTCACTTGAACATCTGCCATTCTTGCCCTTTTCTGATGCAGTTCTTTAAGTCTTCTTTTGTGAATGTCTTTCTGTGGCTATCCCGATGTCCTCAATCAATTAAAAATGTTTATGGCAATTTACGTGAACTAAAAAATTTCTGTGTGTCCCATTCATTTACTTTATTCATCAGATCTGGCACTATGAGACTTTTGACTCTTTCTCAAAGTCACAACGACCATGAAAGGTAAACATTTTGAATCAATTCAGGACACTGAGGCAGCCATGACTGTATAACTAAAGGCACAGGAAAGGACTTCAGAGCTGCGACGGAAAGTGGGAAGAACACTGGGATGAGTGTGCTGAAGGGAGGGGACAGATATCCAGAGGAGATTCACGGCAATGTATCTTTTACACAATGAGGTTTCCTTAAATCATGCTCTACCATTGATTTGTAATGTGAGCAGTCACTGAACCTCTGCTTCATCTCATTTGTACACGGAGATGAAAGACGTGAGAGACCTCATTTGTCTAATACAGTAACTTGGTGCCTGTATTGGATGGTGCAAACCATCCAATGTACTTACCAAGATTTTGGTTTTGAAAGACTTGATTGATTATTAAGTTTTCTGGCTGAGTGGCGCTCTAGCTGCTCTTGCAGATTATTTAGAGGAACAGCAGCCATGTTCCTGAAAGGTGAGGGGAAAGCATCAGTAGAGTTAGGTATGTTGCACTACTCACAATGTTTGTAGAACCAGATTCAAACAAGCATTAGTCTCCCTTTACGTTAGGGTCTCACTACGTAGCCCAGGCTAGCCTTAAACTCATGTTCCACCTGCCTTAGCCTGCCATGTGCTAGGTTTATAGGCATGTGCTACCAAGCCCAATTCAAACAGGCATTGTTCTAATTGTGCCCACAGTTATGAGAGGATTCTAAAAATTAGTAAACTCCAGTACCTGGGAGGCTGAGGCAGGAGGGTTGCCACAAGGCCAGTCTGGGCTACACAGTGATTTCAAGGATACCACAAACTACACAGTGAAACCCTATCTCAAAAAAAATTTTTTTTGATCCACATATTGTTTTGATATTTGTATCTAGTGACACATAAAATATATAACCTTTCACTGAAAGCTTTTATATATATATTTTAAAGGTCAGTTTTGCTTTTTTTTTTATTTTAATTTTTTTTTTAATCGGTACCAGGGATCCAACTCACAACGGTGCACTTGCAAGGCAGGTGCTTATGCCGCTGAGCTAAATCCCCAGCCCCACTGAAAGCTTTCTTGAATAACAAAATGACCTCTTTCCCCTTCTCTTCCTCCATACACAAAGGCACAACAGATATTAGAGGAGGGATTTTATTAGGGAAGGGATCACAGAAAAACGGGCCCAGCCAAGGCTCAAAAAGTAAATGGAAATAAACAAGGAGTGAGACAGGAGGGAATGATCAAAGCAAACAGAAAACCCAAAGAACAAACAAACAATTGAATTCTCTGGCTGTAGGTGAAATGGGGAAAGAACTGCACCACCAACGAGTGTGAAGGGTCACCAGCAAGACATCATTCTAAACCTAAAAGAACAACTTTACTAAGCATATTTATTTATGTTCCTTATATAATAAACTGTTGTATTGTTGAGCTATTGCCTAGGAAAACGTATAGCTTATGTCACCTTAAAATTCCTGGAGCTAAAGAAAGATAGTTGTGATCTATGGTCAGCAAAACATTTTATTTCAGCTGATAGTTATAACCTCTTTTTCTGCTGTATCTTTACCAGACACTGGCTTTTACCTTATACTATGCATCTTAGGAGGATTAATAATGCTATATGGTATTTGTGAAGTTTTATGTAAGTTGTGTTTCACTCATTAATTATTAAATTACATCAGTTGAATAATCACCCCTTGTTGAATTTGATAAAAAGATTGTGAAGATTTTCTCCCACCATCTCTGAAAGAGGCATTATTTCTGCTATAGCTTCTTGATATTTAATCATAGAGTAAGCCATTGTGGTATGAGTTACATTTCAACAAAGTTCACACACACACACACACACACACACACACACACACACACACACCTATCATCTAGATTCAACAATTATCAAATTTGTCTAACATTTTTCATCTATACACACACACCCTGAGGTCCTCAGAAGTCCAACTCCAAAAATGGCAACATTCAGCCAGATGTAGTGGTGCATCCTGTAAACCCAGCACTTAGGAGGCTGAGACAGAAGGATTTCAGTGAGTTCAAGGCCTGCCTGGGCTACACAATAAGTTCAGAACCAGACTGAACTACACAGTGAGATCCTATCTCAAAAAGCAAAATAAAAATGGCAATATTCAAATGTAGTCCTACCTTATTCATTTGTTAAGCTTGAAAACATCAATTTCAAAATGATGAGTTCATTCTCTAACCACCTCCAACAGCTTTTACCCTCCCCTCACCCCCAAGCCATTCTGAACTTATAGGTCAAAATATACTGGGTCTATCTCAGCTCGGTAGCTATGGTACTTGAGAATCCTTAGGATTCCCAAATGGTTTTGTTTGGCTAGTGGAAGCCTTTTCAGGAAGGCTCTTCAGTCTTCATGGCATAATCTTAGCCATCTAAGTCAGATTCCATATGGTGGAAAGATGTTCCAGGCTTTTTTTTGAGACACAGTCTCACTATGCAGTTCAGGCTGGCCTTGAACCACCATGTAGTCCAGGAATCCTCACAGCAATCCTCATGCCTCAGCCTCCAAAGTGCTGGGATGACAGGTGTGCACCACCAAGTCCAGCTTCCATTTTGCACATGTTCTTGTTTCAGAGTTGGTTGGAACTAGCCACTTCCCCAAATAACACGCATTTTTTGTTTATTTGTTTTTGGCTGGTTTTGAACCCTCTATGTAGTCCAGGTTGGTCTCTAACTTGTGGCAATTCTCCTACCTTAGTCTTCCGAGTGCTGGGTTTACAGTCATGTGCCACCATGCCCAGCAGCACTGATTAATCCCTGCATATGCTAAGGTGCCTTACAAATTAAAAACCTTTCCTCTTTCTCTGTATGAATCTCTATCTTTATATCCATATATGTATCCACCCTCCCACTTACCTACCTTCCTATCTGCCTACACACTATTTTCCCCCACAGTACTGGGGAGCAAGCCCAGGACCTCGTGAGTGTTTAGGTGACTCCTCTACCACTGAGCTATACCCCCAAGGGCTAAAAAATTACCATGTTTTAATTGACACTAGTGATTATATACATTTATGGGGTATAGTATAGCATTTCAACACATGTATACAATGTGTAGTGATCATATCAAGGTAACTCACATATACTACCTCAAATAATTTATTATTTCTTTGTGCTGCGAACATTCAAAATCTTCTCTATTAGTTATTTTGAAATATTCTGCTAAATGTTGTCGATCACAGTTATCTTACTGTCCAACCATACTTCTTTACTCATTAACTGCCATCTCTCAATCTTTCCCTCTTCTCAAACCTTTCCAAGCTCTGGTAAACCTAGTCTACTCTCTTCTTGTCTGAGATTGGATTAGGCAGTTTTCCTCGAGCTGGGACAAAATACCTAACAACTGCAACTGAAGAGGAGAGGTTGGCGCATGTTTCTGTGGGTTCAGTACATGGTTGGCTGGCTCAAAGGCAGGAGCAGCATGATAGAAGGGCTTAGTAGAGGACAGCTGCTCACCCTGTGGAACCTAGGAAACAGAAGAAGAGGAGCTAACGACAAGAATACACCCTTTCAGGTCATGCCTCCAGTGACTCACCTCTTCCCACCATATGCTTTCAACTACAAACTCATCAGTAGATGAATCCACAGACAGTACCCCCTGCAACCTCAAAGCTCAATTTCTGAACACATGAGACCCAAGGGACATTTTAGATCCAAATCACAAACGAGATCAGCTTTAGCTTTCACACATATGTGAAAACATGTGGTATTTGTCTTTCTGTGTCTCACTTATGTCTTCCAACTCTACCCACATTGCTGCAAAATTTCATTTTTTGAGACTGACTGTTAATGTGCACATATATTTTACCCACTTATCCACTGGTGGACACCCAGGTTGATTCTATTACCTCAGCTATTGTACAAAGACCTGAAATAAACATGGAAGTACAGAGGTCTCTTCATACTGATTTCATTTTCTTTGGATATATACCAAGTTATGGTGTACTGGATCATGTGGTAGTTCTACTATTTTTGAAGAACTTCTATAGTTGTCCTTGATATCTGCACTAAGTTACATTCCCACACACAGTGGGCAAGAATTCTTCTTTCTTGCATCCTTGTAATTGTTACTTTGTCTTTTTGATAATCTTTTTGATAATACTTTGTCTTTCTGTAGATCTTTTTTTTTAAAATCGGTACCAGGGATCGAACTCACAACTGCACACTGAGCTAAATCCCCAATCCTCAATACTTTTGTCTTTCTAATAGGTGAGATAATATATCATTAGTTTTGATTTATTTTGCCCTGTTAACTGGTTGTATTTTCTATTTTGTTTTTTGAGAAAGAGCCTCACTATTTAGTACTTACAGTGATCCTTCTGCCTCAGCCTCCTGACTGTTAGGATTACAGATGAGTGCCATCATAACTAGGTTACTGGCCATGTGTATGTATCCTCTTTTGAGAAACATTGGTTATCCTTCCATTGCTTGTTTATTTGCTTTTCCTTTTTGAGACAGGGTCTCGCTATCATACCCCAGAATGGCCTAGAACTCAGTGACCCTCCAGCCTTAGCCTCTCAAGTACTGGGCTCACAAGTGTGGGCCACATCACCTGGCAATTCTTTCATTTTTAAAATAGGATTGCTTGGAGGTTCTTCATTTCGTTTTATTCCTTTTATAGTCCAGAAATTACTCCCTTATCAGGTGAATAATTTGCAAGTATTTTCTCTCCTGTAGGCTGTCTTCTCTGTGACTGTCCCCTTTGCTGTACTGAAACTTCTCAGTTTGATGTAACTTCACAGTCAATTCTCTTTTTCTGTACCAATGCTTTTGGTGTCACAATCTGAAAACTTTCCCCATACCAATTTATTGAAATGTTTTTTGTTCTTTTCATTCATAGTTTCAGTTTCAGTACTCGGAGATGATTTTGTATATGACATGTGATATGGATCCGATTTCTTTCTTCTGATAATGGATACTCAGTTATCCCAGCTCTATTTATTTCCAGCACCATTTATTCAGAAGACATTCCTTTTCCCAGAGTATATACTTGCTGCCTTTGACAAAAGCCAGTTGGTTGTAAATATGTGGAATTTCTTTTTGAGTCCTTTATTCTATTCCATGAGTCTCTGTGCCTATTTTTATGCAAGTATACGCTGTTTTGGTTACTATACTTATGTAGCATTGTTTGTTTACTGAGACTGGGTCTTACTATGTAGCCCAGGCTGGCCTTGAATTCTCAGTCCTAACATTTCTATCACTAGTGTTTCACAACTTTCACAGCAGAGCTCATTCCCTTAATTTATTCCTAGTGTGATGGTCAATTTGATGGGCTTGAAAGACATCTAGGAGATTTGTACCGCACACTCTGGGTGTGACTGGATGGGTCGTGGGGTCTGACCTTGGAGACTGTACCTGGTCCCAGGTCCTTCCTCTATGGTACCGCTCTCCTACTGCGATTCCTGGATACCATGAGTTGTGCCCTTTTGCCATAGCGGTCCTGCCTTGGAG